TTACAATTAAATGCAAGGTATTTTCACATGAACCAGTAAATTGAAACATCTTCTCAGAGGGGCGACATAAAAGTCATTTTTATGGTTTTATTGTAATTTTAATAGGCAATTTCACTAGTAAACAGAAGAGCATGATCTTCGTTCAATACCATACAAGAGACAGTAATACATTGCTAATGGTATTGTGTGTACATGCCTCTGAGATGAACAAGAATCATAAATGGGTCATTTTATTATATAAACAGCACTGCTTTATGAACATAGCGCAGTGGCGACAAAAGAAATGCAAGATCCAACCAGGTACAAATCAAACTGATTGTCAAAGGCTTTCATGGCCAGAATCACTGGGTTTATTGTGAGTTTTCTGGGCCATATGACCATGTTTCAGAAGCATTCTCTCCTGAGGTCAACAGACCTCACAACCTCTGAGGATGCCTGTGATCAGCAGTGCTGTAGAATTTGAAGAGGCATGAACGGAGGGCAAAAGAGAGAAACATTGCAAGAGGAAGGCACATCAAGCCAACCCCAACTGGAACCGCCTTCCACCTGGAAATGGATGCGCTCACTGCGGGAGAACATTCAGGTCCACAGCCATCTATGTACCTACTACCAAGACATTAAGAGGACCATCATCCTCGGACTATGAGGGATCATCTAAGTAATTAAGAAAAAAGTAAGTAAAATCTATGGTAAGCTTCGACTTATGAAGATCCTACTTTTGGAAGTGGTATTTTGAGAAACCAATGCCCTCACTGCAGGAGAACATTCAGGTCCACAGCCACCTATGTACTCACCACCAAGACATTAGGAGGACCATCATCCAAGGACTATGAGGGATCATCTAAGTAATTAAGAAAAAAGTAAGTAAAATCTATGGTAAGCTTTGACTTATGAAGATCCTACTTTTGGAAGTGGTATTTTGAGAAACCAATGTCCTCACTGCAGGAGAACATTCAGGTCCACAGCCACCTATGTACTCACCACCAAGACATTAGGAGGACCATCATCCTCGGACTATGAGGGATCACCTAACTAAGTAAGTAAAATCTATGGTAAGCTTCGACTAATGAAGATCCTACTTTGGGAGGTGGTATTTTGGGAAACCAATACCCTCACTGTGGGAGAACATTCAGGTCCTCAGCCACTTATGTACCCACCACCAAGACATTAAGAGGACCATCATCCTCGGACTATGAGGGATCACCTAAGTAAGTAAGTAAAAAGTAAGTAAAATCTATGGTAAGCTTTAACTTATGAAGATCCTACTTTTGGAAGTGGTATTTTGAGAAACGAATGCCCTCACTGCAGGAGAACATTCAAGTCCACAGCCACCTATGTACTCACCACCAAGACATTAGGAGGAACATCATCCTCAGACTACGAGGGATCACCTAATTAAGTAAGTAAAATCTATGGTAAGCTTCGACTTATGAAGATCCTACTTTGGGAGGTGGTATTTTGGAAAACCAATACCCTCACTGCGGGAGAACATGCAGATCAAGAATAGGGCTTCTACAGACCCACCAGTGCACTGATCTTGGAAGACTATCCTATTTGGACAACGAGGGATTGCCTAAGTAAGTAAGTAGGCACATCCTATAATGTGTGCCTATCTATATATATAAAAATGCTCTGTGCATAATGAGTTCCTTCGAAACAAAATAACCAATGAATGAAATCACACCAAATTTGGCAACAAAATGTCTCACTACACAAGGAGTGACCATCTCTCAAAAAGTTATGATTTTGTCATTTGGGAGTTGTCGTTCCTGGGATTTATAGTTCAACTACAATCAAAGAGCATTCTGAACTCCATCAACGATGGAATTGAACCAAACTTGGCACACAGAACTCCCATGACCAACAGAAAATACTGGAAGGGTTTGGTGGACATTGACCTTGAGTTTGGGAGTTGTAGTTCACCTACATCCAGACAGCACTGTGGACTCAAACAATGATGGATGTGGACCAAACTTGGCACAAGCACTCAATACGCCCAAATATGAACACAGATGGAGTTTGGGGGGAAATAGACCTTGACATTTGGGAGTTGTAGTCACTGTCATTCACAGTTCACCTACAATCAAAGAGCATTCTGAACCCCATGAATGACAGAATCGGGGGCAAACTTCTCACACAGAACCCCCGTGAACAACAGAAAATACTTAAGGCCATCCAATCCAACTCCCTTCATCAGGGCAAGAAAACATAAACAAAGTCCTCCTGACAAAGAGCCATCCAGCCATAGATATAGATGGATGGATAGAAAGATAGATATGATTCACACACGGAGAGATATAGTATCATAGATTTGAAAGAGACCTTAAAGAAGGACAATAATATGTTCCATGTTCCAGAGTAGGCAAACCAGACACTCTCCACATCAACACTGACAAAGAAACAACAAGAAATACTCAGTTCTTGTGGGTTTTTTCGGGCTATATGGCCATGTTCTAGCGGCATTTCTCCTGACGTTTTGCCTGCATCTATGGCAAGCATCCTCAGAGGTGAGGTCTTCTGGAACTGGGAAAAAGGGGTTTATATATATTCTTCCCAGTTCCAGCAGACCTCACCTCTGAGGATGCTTGCCATAGATGCAGGCAAAACGTCAGGAGAAATGCCTCTAGAACATGGCCATATAGCCAGAAAAAACCCACAAGAACTGAGTGATTACAGCCATGAAAGCCTTCGACAATACATTGAACAAGAAATACTGTTTACCCGCAAGCATGAAGAAATTACATTTATTAGAAACCAACACTTTCTCATTCCCTTTATTTTCCAGATCAACCGATTGGGCCACAGCAACACGTGGCAGGGGGCAGCTAGTTCACACTAAAATGAAGTGTTTTCGATCATACCATATGCTACAGAATAGGCCTGTTTGATCAAGAAAAAATTTGTTTCTAAAATCGATTTGTAATTGGGGTGTTTTTTTGTTTCGATATTTAAAATAATTACAAAACTTTCCAAAAAAAAGTTTTGGTATTTAAGAAATTTTGTAAATATTAACGAATTTTTAGAATATTTTTGGTATTTCTTAAGAATAATATTAAAATAATATTAAAAAATATTTTAAAATGGAAAATTAACCAAAAAATGGCCCAAATGTGGACCAAACACAGGCAGGATACAGCAAATGAGAGCACAATTAACCAAAAAATGGCCCAAATGTGGACCAAACACAGGCAGGATACAGCAAATGAGAGCACACACCAACAGAAGAGTCTTTTCTTTTTAGAATATTTTTTAAAAATAATAGTAAAAAATAATATTAAAAAATATTTTAAAATGGAAAATTAACCAAAAAATGGCCCAAATGTGGACCAAACACAGGCAGGATACAGCAAATGAGAGCACACACCAACAGAAGAGTCTTTTCTTTTTTAGAATATTTTTTAAGAATAATATTAAAAAATAATATTAAAATAATATTAAAAAATATTTTAAAATGATAATATTAAAAAAATATTTTAAAATGGAAAATTAACCAAAAAATGGCCCAAATGTGGACCAAACACAGGCAGGAGACAGCAAATGAGAGCACACACCAACAGAAAGAGTCTTTTTTCTTTTTTTTTTCCTTTTTTTTTCTTTTTTTTTTTTTTTCTTTCTTCTTTTTTCTTTTTTTTTTTTTTTTTTTTTTTTGTAAAAAAATAAATATTAAAATAATATTAAAAATAATATTAAAATAATATTAAAAAAACAACAATATTTTCAACTGGACAATTAAATAACCTAATATAAACAAAAAACCCACGCAAAAAAAAAAATTATGACAAAAATGTAAAAAAATCAAAAATATGAATAAAAATGGCCCAAGATGAATGGCCAATGTGGACCAAAAATGAACACAGAAGACCAAGTCGCATGATAGACGGTCAATAAATAAGAGCACACAAACAGGAAAAGAGAAACAGGCTGAAACACCAGCAAACACACCACAACGCACACCAATACAGAAAGGAGGGTCTTTTTTTGTTTTCGTTTTTTATTTTTTCCCTTTTTTCCTTTTGTAGAGTCTTTTTTACGAAGAAGAGTCTTTTCTTTTTTAGAATATTTTTTAAGAATAATATTAAAAAATAATATTAAAAAATAATATTAAAAATAATATTAAAAATAATATTAAAAATAATATTAAAAAATAATATTAAAAATATTTTAAAATGGAAAATTAACCAAAAAATGGCCCAAATGTGGACCAAACACAGGCAAGAGACAGCCACTTCAATCACAGCAGGCTCACAACAACACAGGAGGCAACCGCCTCAAACGGCAGCAAGGAAATGAATCCACTCCTCCGAGTTGCTAGCGGCAAAGCCAAATTGCCAAGGCCAACCCAAATGCAAAACATAAACAAGATCTACCCAAACTCCCTCTCTCGCACTCCCTCGCCCTCGATTGAAGCTTAGAAATACTAAAACGAATACGAAAAAAAAAAAAAGCTAAAAGAAGCTTAAAACGGGCGCCGACGCTCTAACGGGCGCCCGAACGGGAGCTAGCTATAAACTAACAAAAGCTTAAAAAGCTA